GATAGGAAGAAGATGTCTGTGCTTGTAGCCCTTCAAAGAGGTCGTTTCCGAGCATTTTGCAAAGGTGCATCAGAACTTGTTGTACAAATGTGTGATAAGATTATTGATAGCAAAGGTGAATYTGTTCATCTGTCAAAATCCAAGATAGAGAGTGGCATGGAGGTGATTAACAGTTTTGCTTGTGAAGCTTTGAGAACTCTGTGCTTGGCTTTTAAGGATTTGAATGAGAACAATGGAAACAACATCCCAGATCATGGCTATACATTGATAGCAGTTATTGGAATTAAGGATCCACTACGCCCTGGTGTCAAGGATGCGGTGCAGACTTGTTTATCTGCTGGGGTTACTGTGCGAATGGTTACTGGTGACAACATTAATACAGCTAAAGCAATAGCAAAAGAATGTGGCATATTGACAGAGGGAGGCTTGGCTATAGAAGGACAAGAGTTCCGTCAATGGACTCCCCAGCAAATCAAGGAGTCAATATCACTTGTTCAGGTTGCCTTGTCATTTGCATTACAAATTTTAATTGTGGACCATATTCAGTATTTGAAAATGCTAGCATTGTATCCTCAGGTAATGGCACGATCCTTGCCCATGGACAAACATGCCTTTGTGACTGAGCTAAGGAATCTTGAAGAAGTTGTTGCAGTGACGGGTGATGGTACAAATGATGCCCCTGCTTTGCATGAAGCAAACATTGGGCTTGCTATGGGTATAGAAGGAACTGAGGTTTGTTTTATATCTACACTTATCTATATAATGGTAGTGGCTTTTAGTTTAGGCACAATTTACTTGCTGCTTTGTTCCTCTTCCAATGGTTACTTGATATTTCTGATATTTTTTGTTTTCCTCTCTCTATTTTTTTTTCCTTGTGCATTAATTAATGCTATTAATCTTCCCATGTAAACCTAGAAGTAGACAATGGATGCTATGGTCACTAGGTGCTTGGCAAGCCTCTGAAATATCTTTTTATTTGCTTTTTATTTTTTATTTTAGTCTTCTTGGTGTAATGGTATGATCTTGGGCTGTCAAGTATGAGAATGTGGATTTGAGTCTGAGAGCAGCCACTTCATGCAAAAAATGCCAAAGGTTAGGACAGCATTCAGTTTACTCCTCGTATGACTCCAGATAGCTAGGGCCAACATTGGGTAATTGGATTTAGTCTTCTAGTCCACAGTTCAATGTTTCATGGTAGGATTATGATGTTCATTTTGGGGTTGTCTTCTTGATTTTTGGATGTTTGGTTAACTTATGTATACACTCTTTCTTATCTTTTCTTTATTGTTAGAGAATAAAAACCCATTCAAGGACCTTACCTAAGAGATCAGGTTGGCGCCCTACAAGCGCCCCACATGCACATCTCAGCATGCATTAGGAACATCTCCAGTACTTATCATGAGAAGATGCTCCCAGTACACGGGTGGGAGGTGCTGTGGGGCACCAATCGATCTCCTCACCTAACAACTTAAGCTTTTAGGTTGGACAGCTCCTTGACAGTTAAGATTACTTTATAATTTATTGTCTATAAAAAGAAAATGAAAGTAAAACAGAAAAATTGTCTTTGTTATTCAACTTGCTGCAGTAAAGAGGTATTATGTAAGGGTAAATCAGAAGGCATGACTTTTGAGGAACGGGAAAAATGTGAGGTTGTATTTGGAACAACCTTAGGGATTAAGTTGTAGCATCATTAGGTGCATATGAGTTTTGGGTCATCAAACATTCCTGGGATTTGGAAGAGTTTTGTGGAGGTGTGTTAGAGCTGCTTTGGTGTGGACTGTGTGGGAGGAATGAAATGCTAGAATCTTTAATGACAAGGAGAGGGATCAAACATGTCTGTTAGAAAGTATCTTACGTAGGGCCATAAGTTGGGTAAAATCCTTGGATCTGTTTTCCACCTACATTTTCGATGACATAAGGAGAAATTGGGAACAACTAGCTAAAAGTTCTGCAATCAGAAGCAAGCCGGTGGTGGATTGGAAGCCTCCTGATGCAGGCATCATTAAACTAAATTTTGATGGCAGTAGTTTGGGCAACCCGGGGCCATCTGGAATAGGATGGGGAGACTCTGTAAATGCAGAACTCCTAGCTGTGTTACAAGGAGCAGAATACACAAGAGAGTTGGTAGTGGAGCATTTAATGATTGAAGGTGATTCCAAATTGGTTATTGGATGGCTAAAAGAACCAGAGACGACAGCCTGGCTGTACAAGGGGGCTTTGAGAAGATTTAAGTGGTTGACTTCAAATATTTCAGTCACAATTCAATGGGAAAGAAGATCGGCAAATGGGCTGGCAGACCTTCTAGCTAAACAAGGAGTACATAGGAATCATCCCTTTTGGGCTCAATTGTAAGCTTTATGATGTAGTTTGGAGGCTGCACCCCACGCCTCTTTGTGGGGAATTGTATGATGAATACTTGGTTCTTTATTTAATAAAATTTCCATTATTGTTAGAGCTAGCCGAATAAGGGTAGATTAGTCATTTTATTTCTATTAAGTTATGTGCTTATGTGGCAGTCTTAATAGAGACTTTCTGTCCCATGCTTAAGTGGGGGCAGTTTAGTCTTTGTACTACTAATTAGAGGCTAATCCATATTAAGGGTCGACTGATAGGGTTTAATCTATCAAGGTCGACTGTTCTCTTCATCTTCTTCTTCTTCTTCTTCTTCTTCTTCTCTTCTCCTGGTTCGAACTACTGTAGCTACAGAACAAACATGGTATCAGAGTAGGACGTTGCTCTCTAAATCTCCTCATAGATTCGTGACCTGCTCCTTTCTGTTCGTGACCTCATTTTTTTCTTCTTTCTGGGCTGAAAAATGGAGAACACAAATTTGACCTAGGTCTGAGAACACCTCAGTTCTTTCTCTGCGCAGAACCTGACTGCTTTTTTAAGAGAACAACTTCAGAAGTGGATGGTCGACTGAATCTCTTCATCGAAGGTTGGTTACCTCCTTTTTTTTGTGCTGTTGGTATTTCTGGGTTGAAAGCCTTCAAAATCTGCGGGGACTGATCAGAACCTAGAGAACTTGGTTGTTTGTAGCCTTGGTTCTTGGAAAAAGGTCCAAGAACAGGCTGTGTTTACAGTGGCCGAATGGTGTAAGGGTATGTTTGACCCTTTTTTTGTTGGTCTGTAGTTGTTTTGAAGCCCTTGTTGGTCACAAGTGACCTGAAT